AGACCATAGCCAAACTGTTTATTTTATTTTATTTTTTAATTATTTAAAAAAAATGAATTTGTGCCGCCATTTTCCTGACAATAATAAATAATCACGTGATTCTCATCATCCTCTCATTTGTACTCCTTTTGACTTTTTTTTTATTTGTTTAATAATGAATTATACAATAAAAGATTTTTTTTTTTTTTTTTTTGTATGTGATGTAGGAAAGGGTGAAAACCTAATAAGCAAAATAAATAAAGTGAGAAAATAAGATAACATGCCACCATTTTAAGGAAATAAAAGTGCCATTTTAGAGATACAGGTTTGAGTCAATTCACTACTCAATGAAATTTATTAGAAAGGTAAGGAGTAGAAAAGATAATTTTCAAAGGTGTAAATACTCTACAAATGGTTTAACATTTCAACTACTTGATTATTCTAATATAAAAACTGAAAAATATAAATAAATAACTTAGAACAACCCTTTTAAGTATAGTAACTTACAAAATATTAATAATAAAGTTGGAAATAGCTAAAAATATTTGAAAATTTGTCCATAGCTTTAAAAATCACATAGAAAAAGTAAACTGATATATTTGAGTTTAATCTGACAATTTATAATCAAAGTGTCATGACTTCTTCTAAAAAGCTCGGATTGCAATGAGACTTTATTCATTAAAAAAAAAAAATAGCATCTTAAATTTTAATTCTACTTACACTTTCATATTTTTAAACTTATGAGTATCCTCAATCTGAATTAGAATTTGAACTGAAAACTGAATCCTTCACAAACTAAGGTTGAAAAAATAAATCATATTCTAAATTTTCCAAAACCCCTTGTTACTTCATAAATGTATATGCACCGTGTGATAGTTAGGGAAAATGAGATCTTTGGAGAGAATTGCTAGACTTAATGGCAGATTATGGGGGAGGAAATTGGTGTATTGGTGGTAATTTTAATGCAATTCAAAATAGAAATGAAAAGAGAGGAAGATGCTTTGATGAGGGTGCTATGAGGGAGTTCAACAATTTCATATGTGAAGTTGGGCTTGAAGACCTACCTCTGGTAGGAAGAAGGTTTACATGGTACAAATTGGATGGCATAGCAATGAGTAGACTAGACAGGTTCTTGGTGTCCGTAGAATTCCTAATCAATTTTCCAAAGCTCATACAAGGTCTTATGAGGGATCTTTCAAACCATTTCCCAGTTATGTTGCTAAACTCATGCAAGGACTGGGGACCTAGACCATTTTGAAGTCTTAATTGTTGGATGGAACACAAGGAATTCACTACATTCATTCAGGAGAAATGGAAAAACTACATAATTGAAAGATGGGAATGACCTTAAAAGGATGAAGAATAGCCTTAAACAGTGGAACAAGGAAGTGTTCAGCCGTATCGAAAAAAAAAATGAAAGATGCTCGAAACAAAATCAAAAGATTGGATGAGAAAGGTGATGATGGGGATTTAACTGAACCCGAAGTGGAAGAAAGAAAGAATTGTTTTCAGGAACTCTGGGAATGGAGTAAAGCTAAAGATAGTCTTTTGTTTCAAAAATCTAGGCAGAAATGGCTATCGGAAGGTGATGGTAAAAGCAAATACTTCTATAGGTGTATTATTCGGAGGAGGAAGTTGAATGGCCTAGAGGAGATTTGGAAGAATAATATATGGGTTAAGGATGTCTTTGAGGTCAAACACTAAATAAAGGAGTACTTTGAGAGGAAATTTGATGAAAAAGAATGGGAAAGACCAGATATTGAATTGAAGAATCTCAAGTAGCTGGGTGTAGAGGAAAACAATAGCTTGATCTCAAAATTTTCTGAAGAAGAAATTCATGAGGCAATACGGTGCTGTAATGGAAGTAAAAGCCCAAGCCCCGACAGGTTTAACTTCAAGTTCATCAAGAAAATGTGGCCAATCCTTAAAGAAGACATTGTTGCTTTTGCTAAAGAATTCTAGGCTAATGGAAAATTGGTTAAAGGAAGTAATGCTCTTTCATGTGTTGATTCCAAAGAAAGAGAACCCCCAAGAGCTAGGTGTATTCAGGCCTATCTCTTTAATTGGCAGTATGTATAAGATCATTTCCAAGATACTAGCTAATAGATTAAGCAAAGTGCTACCATCTATCATTAGCTTGAACCAATCAGCTTTCACTAGAGAAAGACAAATTATTGACGATATTGTGGTTGCCAATGAAATAATCCATGAGGCAAGAAGATGCAAAAGACCAACTTTGATTTTCAAGGCAGATTTTGAAAAAGCATATGATTGTGTCAATTGGGAAATTTTGAACTGCATGATGGATAAGTTTGACTTATACACAAAATGGAGGAGGTAGATCAAAGAATGTCTATCTACTACAACAATCTCAATCTTGGTGAACGGTAGCCCTACAGAGGAGTTCCACATGAAAAAAGGATTATGAAAAAGGGATCCATTAGCCCCATTTTTATTCTTGATGGTAGCTAAAGCATTGAATGGGTTAATTCTCAAAGCAAAAGAGGAGAATCTATACAAAGGAGCAGTGGTGGGTGTAGAAAAATTGGAGATTACTCATTTCCAATTTGTGGATGACTCAATCTTTCTTTGTGAAGCATTGAAACATAATGTTCAAACTATTAAGTGTGTTCTACGGTGCTTTGAATTAGTATATGGCTTTAAGGTGAACTACTCAAAGAGTGCACTATATGGAATTAACATGGAGGTTCAAAAGGTCAATGAATGGGCTAAAAAACTGAATTGTATAGTGGGTGAGATTCCATTTAAGTATTCGAGGATTCCAATTGGAACTAACCCGAGGACGATATCTACTTGGATACCTGTAATTGATTGCTTAAGAAGGAAATTGTCAAGTTGGAAATGTGAATCGTCGTCTTTTGGTGGTAGAATCATTCTCTTGAATGATGTCTTATCAAGTATCCTAATATATTTTTTTCTCAACCCTAAAATCCCCTAAAAAGGTATTAAAACTTCTTTCCTTTATCCAAAGGAGATTTTTGTGGGGAGGTAGTGAAAACAAAAAGTCTATAGCATGGGTTAGATGGGATCAAGTTTGCAGGAGTAGAAAGATGGAAGGGCTTGGTGTTAAGGATCTAAATAGCTTCAAGTTAGCATATTAGGGAAGTGGAGATGGAGGTTGTCGTGGGATAGAGATGCTTTATGGAATAGGCTAGTGGAAGCTAAGTACAATGTTCATAAAAATAGGGATTATGAGGGCAAGGAAGTGAAAGCAACTAGTTCCGAATGGTAAAGGGCAATATGGAGATTAGATAAGGAGATAATATCTATAGAAGGTTGGTTACAAAGGGATTTGGAAAAGGTTACAAGGGAGGGAGAAATACACATTATTTTGGCATGAGAAATGGTGTGGGGATGTTTCCTTTAAGGAGAAATTTAATAGACTATTTAGATTGTCAGAGAATAAGGAGATGTTGTTGAAAGATATTGGAGAATGGAAAGAGGGACAATGGGTGTGGAAATGGAGATGGCATCGGAACTTATGGGAACGAGAACAATCTATTTTGCAGGAACTTAATGAGATGTTGAAAAAGAAAAATCCAAAGCAAGGACAACAAGACAAATGAAGATGGAAACACAATCCAAAGGGCAACTACACTACAAAGTCAGCTTACAACATATTGAATAGTGTCATGAGGGAGCTGAGTTCGATGTAATACAAGCTACTATGGCATACCAAGGTTCCATTAAAAGTATCTACTTTTGCATGGAAAACCTTACAAAACAAAATTCCCACAAGCGATAATCTGATTAAAAGAGGAATCTAAGGAACAAACTCTGATTTTTCATGCATTTTTTGTGGGAATAGTCCCAAAACTGTCAATCATCTCTTCTTCACATGCGAGACCAGTTGGAGGATTTGGCAAGCTTGCTACGAATGGTGGGGTCTCCAAGTTGTATCAACAAATGAAGGATGGAGCCATTTGCAACAACACTTGGTCATGATAGCCAATGGCAACTCAAAGAAAGGATGGTGCGTAATCTAGTTCACTATATATAGTTTATTTGGTTATGGAGAAAGCAACTAATCTTTAAAGATAAATCTGATTCTATTGACCATATTAGAAACTTACTTAAACTGAGATCTTTTGATTGGATTAGAGCTAAGTATGGCCTAGATTTTTCTAAGGATGTTTGGATGCAGGACCCTATGGAAGCAAGTAGAAATAGGGAGATAGATTGATATAGTGGGTTTTAGGTGTGGCTGGGATTTTGTGTAATTTTGCTATTAAGCAGTTGTGGTGATGATGTAATTGGCGAAATACCCCTTTTACTCTTTTAATATAAAATTATTTTATTGGTTGATCAAAAAAAAAAATTCTAAATTCTCCAAAATTTCAACTTGGCATAGGACACTCCCTTGTCACTTTTTCAAGTCCCTCTTCACCCACCTCACCCAATATAGCATTTGAAACTTAGATCTAGCTAGATGTAAAAAGATTATGAAAGTTTTTTTTTTTTTTTTTGGTTGTACAATGAGAAGTAACCATTTATCATTCCTTATCCCACTCTTCTTACTTGCAATGAAAGGAGATAACCACTAAATTACTTAAGTTATTAGCAAATTATGAAAGTTAATTAATAACTTTAATTAGTGCAATATAAAAGATTGAACTTCCCAAATTATCCTTTCTAAAATTTACAATATATTTTAAATAATAGCATCTTAACATTAATAATTACTAGAGTAAGTACTTAAATCTCATGATTTAACGATTATAAAATGGATTACAAAGTGTATCTCTCAGTTCAAGGATTGATATTCAGATCTCTCTCCCCAAATGTAAGGCTGTTCAAAAAAAAAAAAATACTAGAGTAAAATTGGAAAAGAAGAATTAATTATGCCAGTTTTCTCAAGATGCACAATAATTTGTTAAATCATCACTTCTTATTATATTTAATTATTTTTAATTTAAAAATCATAATTAATTATTAAAAATAAATAATAATTAATTAAAATTTTATTTACATAAATAAATTCTTACTTATAATATATAATTTTTTTATGTTACACTCGTAATATATAATTTTTTCTTTTTTTTTTAGTCAGATCAAGCAATTGATTTTTCCTACATGGCCAACTTTTCTTTGCCACAATTGTACCTACTTTTTAATTTCCATTTCATTTACTTCCTCAGAAAGTCCCCAACCGTTCTCGTCTGGTGATGAATTTTTGAGCCTCTGCTCTTTCTATTCTTCCATGGTAGGAAAGAAAAGAATTTTTGGGATTTTGGGTTTGAATATTTCTCAAAATTTCCTGTCAAAAAGGTGAATAAAATGGGGGAAGAAGAAGCCTCGACATCGAGTTCTTCGAGCTCCCGGCAGGAAGATGCCAACGAAGGCATTGAGACCAATGTGGTGTTGAATGTCTACGATCTCACACCTCTCAACAACTACACGTATTGGTTCGGGTTCGGGATATTCCACTCGGGTATTGAAGGTTTGTTGGCTTGGCTTGTATGATTTGGTTGATCTTCCTCTTTTTGTTTGTCTTGTTGGTTTTTAAATTTGTCTTCTGTTAGGTATGACAATTCAGTTTTAATCCTTGTAAAAATACTAACTTTTTTTTGACGTTTTTCTTTTCAATTTTTTCGTCATTTTTTTGGTTGATCTTCTTCATTCTCTATATCTGTTGAGACGATTTTCTGTGTTTAAAAAGGTAGTTGAAGGAGAATGGATTGATAACAGAATATTGATGGAAAACTTGGGTATTCGAGATTATACAAGATCTTTGTAAACCCAAAAAATTACAAAAAAAGTTAATTAATTTTTCAGCAAGTTATGTGTCTGCTTGAAATTTGGTTTCAGGGAGGAGTGGCCCTAGCTGACATAAAGTAAAAGTAGTGGACTAAGTAGTTCATCTTATGATTTTTTAATAAATTGTGAGATGGTGCAAGATACTGCGCTATATTGGGTTGAAAAAATTATGGTTTAGTGTTTCTAGCATGCACTAAAGGTAATGCTTTTCGTTTTTCTAATATTAAAACTTGGTATTTCTTTTTGGAAATGATCTTAGTAGATAGGTATCTTCTGTCTATATCATGCTAAATTGTTTCTGTTACGGTTGTTCCGAGCTTCCTTTTGTATTGATTAAATTAGACATATATGAGTGCGGTAGACATTCCAGACTAAGATAGGTAGCGCTAGTGGCCTGCAGTTTCCATGATTTGGCTTTAAGGTTGAGAATTTCTTGTTATGAAGCTTTAAGTCAAGGAAAATATGGTTAACTCAAATGGTTTAGATACTCATGCTTTAAGATTGTCTCTTCTAACAACCGAATATTTTATCAAAATAAGTTTTATTGGGTAATGACAGAACAAACTGACAATTCAGTTCTGCTTAGATATTATAGTTGGGAATTAGATAATTGTAAATGCTGGAATTGTCAGGTCAAGAATCATACCTTATCTATTTGTATACCACAGATTATTTTGAATCCAAATGTCTTAATGCAACTTATGTAATGTCATATCAACAAATTTTGATGTGTTTTGAAAGCACTATTTTTGGTTGTTAAGCATAGTATAGAGAAGCCAATGATCCTTCAGGATCCATCTATGACTTCATCTATTGGAATCTAGAGCTAATAGCGATCCTTGTCACTCATTGAGATTGTATGTTTCTATGGTCCATCAGATTTCCGGGAGACTAAAGAAAACAAAATCTCAATTTGGAGATACAAATTCTAAGGCTTCTCACAATAGAAATTAGTGTAGATGGTTATTATTATTATTGTTATTATTTTGATAAATCCAATGATGAGCTGTTATTATTTTGGTGAATCCAATGATGGGCTATGCAGCAAGGGATAACCCTTTTATCCTTCCCTTTCCCAAATCTGTCCTCACTCATCTCAAGGTTCAAATTTGGGATCTCCAACTTGGAGTCCCAGCACTTATCTGTTGAGATGCCCCCTTGGGGGCTAGTGTAGAACTGTAGATGGGCATACATATGTGCATTTGCTGTATGAGTTTCATGTGATATTTTTAACAAGTTTTACCTTTTCACCCTCTTCTTCTTTTCCATTTTTTGTCAGTGGGGAGAGAACATGGTTTAAATTTGAGAGTAAAGACAAGTTTATAATCCTAATTTCATTTTCTTCTTCTTTTCACTCCCACCATCAAAATTCTGTCCTGCTTCTTGTACTGTTGGAAATGATAAGTAAAAGTAGTTTTTCACTTTTTAGAAGTGCTTATCTTTTTGCTAGTAATCTTCAGTCAAGTGATGCAGAATGCCATGGGATTCCATAAATCTTAGGTTCATTCAAGTATTTCTGAATGCCACATTGCCCTTGGTCAAATCCTGTACTACCTTGGCCTGCCAAATGTACCAAATGAAAATGAACTCATTGGTACTTATGTTTGCCTACCCCAGTATTTAAGCTGACAGAATTTCTGTCTATGTTTATGAATAGTTCATGGTAAGGAGTACGGATTTGGAGCTCACGATTTTCCAGTTAGCGGAGTTTTTGAAGTAGAGCCAAGAAGCTGTCCTGGTTTTATTTTCCGATGTTCCATACCATTGGGCCACATAAAGATGGCTCCTTCTGCATTTAGAATGTTTGTTGAGGGTGCAGCTTCTGAGTATCATGGAGATACATATCACCTCATCTCCAAGAATTGTAACCATTTTACGGATGAAATCTCACATAGATTGACAGGCAAACATATACCTGGATGGGTGAATCGGCTAGCCCGGCTAGGTACAAATACAACTGCAATTTCTATTTCTTTTTCTGAGTTTCAGACATACAGTGTTTCACATTTGACATATATTTTAGTCTAGATTGTATTTTGCTCTGGATGTTATTTTTCTCAGCAGAAAAATTAAACACATTGACAAATATCTAATGCATCTGTTTTTGGTACTCAGGTTCTTTGTGTAGCTGTCTGCTTCCTGAAAGTCTTCAAGTAACTGCAGTAAAACAGTTGCCTGAATACCATGAACGTGCAGGCCAGTATCCCTTTATTCTTTCTTAAAGTCTACTCTCTTCTAGCACTTGAGCTTTTACCTCCATTGGTATAGTGCATGTTCTCCCTATTTAGAGGAGACAAGTTGAAATCCATTTAACCCCAATGTTAAAAATAGAAACTGATTAACTCTCTTCTCAGCATTGCTAAATGTGACATGCATTCCACCTATTAATAAATTTGTCACACTGCTGTTAACATTGTAGATTTTAGTCTGCATGCAGAAAATGGAAGTGAACCTCTCTCAGGCGCAACCCCACGTAAATCAATAGAAATCTATGACGCATATCCAGAAAAGCAACTGCTGTCACCATTAAGTGAAGCTATGGATGTGACTTTTGTCAAGGAGACCCCCCAGCTGTGACTGAACGCAGTCTAACAGAGAGCTTTTATTTGAAATTCATCAAGAATGCTTGCCCGACAGTTTCCTGCTAGAAGAAAGTAGCTGCTGCTTGCATGATCTTCATTCAAATGTTGTAATTTCTCTTAATTCTTTCTAATTCTTAACTTAGCTGAGGTATTCATTTACTTTTTCCTTTGATTTTTCTTTGAACAGAAAAGGCTAACTATAAAGTAGTCTGTTGTATCGTTGTATTTGATTTGATGATATAAGATTGGATTCTTGTGGGAGATTTACTCTTGGAATTCTGAAAGAATTACAACCCTAGTTCTTGGTAACTCCAAGAATTGTATAATGTTGTCTAAGAGGTGTATCAATAAATTAGAGACTCAAGTTGGAGGTTTTAACGTTGAAAATATTACGTTAGAAATTTTAAGTTTGAACCTCAAGACAATTAGAAATGAATTTGGGAAACATGGTCAGAATAAATGCTGTTTAACTGATCATTATATGACTATTACTCAAAATCAGAAAAAAAGAAAAAAAAAATGTTGACTTAACCCTGTTTTGGAACCTGTCAGGGGCACTCCAATATGCATATTGTAGGTTTTTTTTTTTTTTTTGACCAACATGCCTACCGTGGTTCAATGACTGTTCTCTTATTGATAACAAACACATGTAATGAGGAGTACGAAAGCAGGAAATTTTACACCATAAGGCAATTGCCAATTTGTTATGAGTAAAGGGTACAGACAATTGCTCACACCAATACGATACCATCAAGGTCCATATTAAATAATGTCAAGTGCAGATGCACATATCTTTTCCACAATAACACACCTAGAACAGCCATGACCAACTTAATTTTTTCAATAAACCGTAAATACATGCTTTGCAGAACCTCACAATTATTATGACAATACCAATGTTTTGCCCCTTCCATATTGCTTTGCCCCCTGAGATGAGGCTCGAACCTAAGACTCTGGCATGTTCATGCAGAGTTACCCACAAGCCCAAGTTTTGTGGTTAGCCACGCACAGACCTCGTCCATCTCTTCCGGGATTGTATAGTGGCCAAGGCTGCATTGTTGAGAAAATATTTAGATTTATTTTCATAAATTATAAAAACAGTTAAAAACATGGAAGGTTTATTACTAGATTCTAATTCTAATTAACTTCATACCCGGAGTATGATTTGAAAGTCACATCCTCAAATCCATTTGAACTCAATACTTCCAAGGATTTCTCACCAAATTTATGTACCACCACATCATCACCTGCAATCAACAGTGAGAATTATTTCATATGTGCCCTCATCTAATATCACATATATATTTGATCATTGTGCTGAAACTAAAAGTAAAATGAGTAACCAATTTAATTGTAAATGATAACCACCTCTAACAAGTTAAATACGTAAGGCTTGAAAAAAGAGTGAAGGCTTCCACACAAGTCAATGCCTTAAGTAATTTAAAAGTCTGGAAATTTCACTCCAAGATACCCGTTGATAAGAGGGGGAAAAATACTATATGAGGCCTTCCCCTTAGATCAGCACTGTTTAGCACTCAGAATGGCTTCTACTACAAGTTTAACCTAGATTAGTTCTTACAAGCCTACTAACTTGATTTGGCTCTCAAGTCTCAAATAACATTTAGTTGGCAACAGAAAATAATATTATTCACAAATGCAAATAGTAAAATCCGGAATAAATTCTAAGATCAATGCTGATTGTCAGAATTTATTAAATCAACAAATTAATAGTGATTTTAAGTATATTCCCTATGTTTCCCTTGAATGATATCCACTATTTAGGAAAACCGAGTTTGGTTTAGATCTCATAGGTACCAAGCTCCTAAGCAAGTCTTAAGTGTCAGATCAAAATTACAAATAGAAAAGATTGTTTATGGACAATTTCTGGATGAAACAAAATGGTGCAAATGGTCCTCATACCATGCTAGGGGGAATAATCCCTCGTCAAACTACAAACTTAGCATAAATTGTTCATGGGCAATCTCAACTGTATGTGGTTATGGGACAAAATACATGGTGCAAAAAGTACCATGTGACTCCAACCCCAAAGATATAACTTAAAGTCGATGATATGCTATCTCCCCCCAAAACTGTGTTAACAAATTATAATAATTTGCCTATGGGAGGGATGTAATAGAATAGAGAATACCTTTCCCGTGGCAGAGCAACATAGGCAATGATGCAGCACGTCTTGCAGCTACATCATTTCCTTCTATCTTGTTTTTCAAAGTCCTGTTAGAAACGAAAAAAGAACTTACAACCACAGGACCAGAAGCAGTTTATGTGCAGTTTAAGAAACTTACTTTGAGCATGGGAGCCAGCCACTTAGGCCAACAACTGCACTTAAATTGGCAGGATATGGATTGCCATTCCCATAATTTCCATGAGCAAAACAGCTGGCAGAGTATAGGGAGGTTGCCGCACCCATACTAAAGCCTCCAACACCAAGTTTAACTGTAATAGGGAAACTATCCTCAGATTGATATCTAAACTATGACACTACAGATATGCTTGGTGAAGATTGGAAAGTTAGGATAAAGCAATTGCACTGTATGTAAATCAATTTATACTGTTCAACCAAAATATTTCCAAAGCAAACCCATCCAAAAAAAAAGTTACTTATTAATGAAAAGCATTTCCTGGAAGGAGGCAGAACAACTGCACAGAAGGTCAAGTTAAGCAAGTACCAACAAGCCCCAAATATATGGCACTCAGTTCAACCAGCTCATATGGTAGAATGGCAACACATAACTAAAGGAAACAGTTTCAAAGCTAACAACACTTTAGTTCTAATTTTCATTTGATAACAAAAAAAAGAAAAAAAAAAGAAATGAAATTAAAAACATGAATTCTTGCATCATTTAAGTTTCAATAGTGGCAATCATAGAAAGAGTTCCGTTCTTGCAACTCCTCAGCAAAAAGAGAAGACTGGTCCTTGAATTTACAGATATTATAAAATAACTATAAAACAGAATTTAAAAGGCAGGAAGAAAGTTGTCCAAGGCAAGCATCAGGACATCCTAAGGTGATGAAAGGGACATACTGTCAGCAGGCTCTGTTGACAACAAGTTTGCAACATGTGCTGCTGCAGCCTCCAGCCCCTTCAAATCATCGGGAGCATCTTCTGAAAGGTCTTCCACATCAAACCCTGATTAAAATGAAAGTAGCAATTCAAATAATTTGACAAACCATTTGAAATTAGATAATTACAAGAACCATTAATTTCACATACAAAATGAGTTTATCTTGATGTCCTATAAGTAATTTTTTTTTTCTTTAAAGCTTTGTCAACAAAGAGAATGTCAGAAGGGAAAAGGGAGAAGGGGAGAGCACATGTGCCCACACACACACAGTTCTTAATAGCTAATGATTAATTCCATATGATTTCTTCATTTGTGCATAACATCATTGCAGAATATTATATAATGGGGATTAAGTAGTAATGCTGACACCTAAACAACTCTCTTTCAATATGAAACAGGTTCTTAATAGCTAAAATACATACATGCTGTTGAAGGAAAGCCACCAAATATAGAAACTGGCTGAGTAGGGGCAGTTGGGCATATCCATTTAATCTGCATCATATGATTGCAAGTCTAACAAATTATAAAATTATCAAGAAACAAATATCCAAATAATTTAGATACATTAATGAAAATTACGAAGATAGCTTGCCATGCTCCTGTATTATTTAAAATTAATTATCCTTACATTTGGAAGAGGGAGGGTCTCCAATATCTGGGACCAGCTGCCAAACAAGAGGAAAACATAACATAAGGATTTGAGTTACTTTTATATTATCTGAAAATAGCAATTGAATGTTGTGCTACATATGAGGTTTTTCGTCGCACAGATAGGAAACTTGAAATCAGAAGGAAGATCAATTTGTACCATTAGGTAAAACGCACATTGAGATATTAAATTATATTTAAAACAGAGAAATGAAAGTCTAGATAAAAAATTATACACTTGAGGCAGCATCCAAGTCATCACAAGTTAAAGCAAAAATATAGAAAGAAACTTTCAATAATGAAGTTAGAGAAAACCAAACTCAAGTGATCAATGTTTTCCTTAAAAGATCTATTAAGTTGTAATGAAAATGGACGAGTTAAATATCTGAATCACAATTATTGGGTATCCACAGAGCAACCTAGTAGGCTAGAAAGGGATAATTCCTTGATAACCGAATATCACCAAAAGAAGTGAAACTTTCAAAGTTAAAAACATTTCTTTTTGGCTGAGATAACACTTAACAGGAAGGCTAATTAATTGAAAAAACTATCTTAAAGTTATGCATATAGCAATCTTGGATAACAAGCTTAGAAGGCGGTTGAAATTTGATACCTTGAACCATTATCACCAAGGCCATGTAGCCAAACTATGGTGGCTTGGTGTTTACCTTTGGGCCTTACAACGTAAGTCCTTCCAAACTGAAGTGCTCCTCCAACAGTTGTACTGTCTGGAAGATGTCCCAACAAAGCTTAATGTAAACAACTCAAGAGGAAATACGTCTTGTGTATATTTTGCAGATAAAGTTATAATTTTTAATCCAAAATGATTAATAAAAAACCAACCATGAATATTAAAGAGACACATGAATTGTGGAAAATGGAAACCAAGAGTTTGTGTGAATTTGTTAATGGGCTCCCACATGATTATACAAACTGGCAAACTGCAGCAAGATGAAACAGGAAAAAAAAAAAAAAAACTAACCAGAACCAAAAGGAAGACCACCGAAGCTCATACTGGCTCAGCAAGTGATAGCACTAACCACACTTCTTAGCACACTAGAAAAGGTTGAGAGCAGATCCTGTAATGATGAAAGACTTGGATTCACATTCAACATTAAAAACCATATTCATAAAGCCAACCAAAATTTCCCACGCTTTTCTCTCCCTTCTCTCTCCACTCCCCTCACTAATTACATGACATCCTAATGAATAACCACCTTTGCAGTTGGCACTCGTTAAAGCCCTCAATAGCTTAATCACAAATGGACCTGCCTGTTTATCCCAACTACAAACTTGAGCAACATGCTAAGATGAAACTTATGCTTCACATACCAACATTTTGCTCAAGAGAGGTACATAACCACAGAAAAACGTTTGCCAATTACTTAAACAAGAAAAAAAGCAAGTTAGATTCTTAGTTAATTGCATTTAACACAATTCATGAATTAGAACCAGGGTAAAGTATACTTAACCAGTATACCAATAAAATCAGCCAAAAGAAAGAAATTACAAATTGAAGGCCTATCAAACCATGCTCTAATAATGATAAGACCTACACCCGAAAATAAATCGAGAAAAAAAGACCTTGAAAATCCATCACCCAAATGTGGATTTGTTTGTTAGACATTGACACTGAGACCAACAAACGAAAATCCAATTCATCAATGTCATTTCCACAATTATTAAGCAATATATAAAACCCAAAAAAAAGAAATAATAATAATAATGATAACAAGCCGTTACCTCCGGATTCAATCACCAAAAAAATTCAGAAATTAAAAAAAAAGAAGAAGAAGAGAATTGACATGAATGATAAAACTGTAAAGAAAAAGCATATTTGTACAAAATTGAAGGATTTGAAAACAGAAAAAAGAAATTGGGCATTAGGGTTTTAGCCATTACCAGTAATCGAAGAAGCTGGAGCGGATGGGAAAATCAGAGGCAAATATAAATTTATGTATTTTTCCCCTTTTTATCCCAGAGCTTTTCGCTGGCTATGCTTCGTCGTTTGGTTGTTGGTATCTTTTTTTAGCTGAAGGTGTGGTTGTTGGGATTGTTTACTGCAAAATGAGAGAAAAGGATAAAATCTTAGGTGTCGCATACTCATTGGTATGCGGTGATTCTAGGCCGTTCACGTCATCTCCTACCACTTGATGTCGGCCACGTGGTAGTTGTTGAGGCGAAGATACATGTTTACGCTCAGCTTGCTTTGCCCCTAGAAGCTCCGGAACTATTTGTCTTTTTGAGGCTATGTACCCTTTAACATATATTGTATGTGTGTTTTAGTTCATAAATTTTACTTTATTTCAGTAGTCTTATAATGTAAGTCATATAGTTGTCTCTATATCGTTATGCTATGCTCATCAATGTCATGCTAGTATAAATATAGTACACTTAGACCATGGAATTGGAAAAAATATAGCCGATGATGGACCCATATGTCTTTTTGTTTATAAAAATAGAGTAATAGAATAAAGACAGCCACATAACTCATGTGATGAGATTTTATTTATTTTATACCAATTATAGTAATAACTAAAATTTAAAAAACAAAGTAAATAAAATGTAAGCTAAGAAACTAATAGTTTTAAAGACAAATAGTTAGAGAGTTGTTGCAGCTAAACCCAACTTTGCTATGAGAATTTATTTTATTAAAAAAAAGTTTTTTCACATAAATTTGTCTTTCTACATGTATATTTTTAGAGAAACCTAAGAACCCAATCCAAGCTGTAATTGGTTTTCATTAAAAATTAGAAAATAAAAAGAAAAGACATTAGAATGTTAAGATTGTTTAGATTGATAACAAAAAGATTAAAATATCATTAATAAATTAATATAAAAAATTTTATTAAAAATATTTAAATAATTTTACATAGAGCCATGTAATTGAAAGTGTTTAATTTTTTTTATTCAAAAATATCTATAAAAAAAATAAAAGTGGAGGAGGCTAATATAGGCACTAACGGAGCTAGGGCATGAGGAGTAGGCCCCCTAAACTTTAGTAAAAAAATTAATTACGTTTTGTAACTTTGGTTTTTATCATTTCCATCTTTCTTTATTTCATAGTAATTTTATTAGTTTTGAGTTTTTTATTATTGAAGATTACATTTGGTAATGATATGAAGAGTGAGGAAAGTAAAGATAATATGAAAATGAAGAAAAATAAGTATTAATTGAATAAAAAATGTTTACTATCATCTTTCTACAAAATATTTGTTCATTAATGTTCTTTTGTTTTTTTATTAGTATTTTTCCATCAAATTTATGTTATTGTTATCTTTCAATTGATGGCATTTATACATTATCTACTAGTTAGTCACTAATAAATTATATTTAAAATAATTTTATTTATTCATTTTTTTCTTGTTATCAACTTTTTCATTAACACTCGGTCATAATTTTCTTTATAAAGGTCTTTTTGGCCCCCTAAAAATTTTTTCCTAATGGAAGGAGGTGTGTATATGTATTGGGTTGTGCCAAGTGAACATAGCACTCCTCATATTTTTATATTTTTCCTTTTATTTTCAAATTTTTTATAATTGAGCTTTTTTCATCATTTTCATGAGGATTTTTTCCCCATTATAACTAATGTTACACAATACTGAAAACAAGGACAAAACCAAAATATCAACTATAATAATACCTCAATCCCACATTGAAAGAAGAATGCGATTATAAGTAATACATAAATGTGAAAATCAATCACTGCTAACAATTTGAGTTTAATATTTTGAGGGCATATAGATTTTGATTTGAAGAGTTGTAAGGGTAGTAACAAGCTTTGGTTTGAATTGTTTCAATTGGTATTAAAACAATTTTCCCTTGCAAGTGTGAGGCCATGTTAGGAGACCTTAAAATGAGTCATATAATTCGATTATGAGTGATATATAAGTGTGAAAATTAATCATTATTCATAACCTAAAAAGTTGGCTTTAGCTCAGATCGTAAACCTTTACACACCTATTTGTATTTTGCTACGGTGACGTGATGGATTCCAAACATTAGGCATTGAATTCTAAGATAAAAGTTCAAAAGCAAACAATAAATTCTTCAATTAATGTCTAGCCCTTTTTTTTTTTTTATTTCTAATTAGATTTTTAGCCTATTCTTTACTTGTGCATTGTCCATTGCTCATCCATTGTATTAGTTTCAATCTCTATTTGATTTATAGGTTGTATTAAGCATTAAACTCCAAAATAACATAATTTTAGATTATATTTAATGCAGTCATTGCATTTTATACCATATAGTTTTATTATAAATTGTAAATTTTCTCTAAGCATTAAACTTCTAAAATAAAAGGTTTAGGCCTAAATCTTTATATTTCTAATTTTCATTTCGGGGCAAGGTTGAGTCTATACTTTACCCTATGCTAAAATGTCTTGCTTTGGACAATAAATCTAAATATAAAAAAATATAAAAAAGTGTCTATCTGTGCACTTAAAAAAAGGGGCAAAATATATCTATGTTGTTTTAACAAACAAAAATAATATAATTATAATACCATGTGACATTGTAAACTTATAATTATGATGTATCATTTATATAATTATTTTTTTTTTCCATTTATGAGTCTTTCAATTATATTGTATGTATCCATTTATTTCAATGTTGCATTATAATTGTAAATTTATAATCCTAAATGACATTATAAGTATAGTATTACTGTTCAACAAACTTCTCTACTTTATTGAAATGAGTGTAATTGAATGAATTAACTTTACAGTCCTTTTGACTAGGATCAACAACACAAATCAAACAAACCTATAAAAGACTTGAGGATAGACTTTGAGGTAAACACTATGATGCCTAAGTTAGCAATAGTTACCCTAGAACTGAAGTAAAAAATGGAGAGTCTGTAAGTCAAAAAAGTATCTTGATGAGGACCCCCAAAAGGGTATTTATATATAGACAATGGATAAGATCCATGTGGTTCCCTAGAGTGATTATCAGAGTGTGACATGGTGCTTTGAGCGATCTTTATAAGAAATATGGATCATATACTATAAGCTTTCATGAGCTCACTGTGCAACCAAGTACAAGGACTAAGATGAAGACTTCAGCTTCAAGAGGAGACGATGGCCTTGGTAGTTTGGAGTTTAGTTCAGTTTAGACATATCCTCACAATGATATAATTTTGAGATTTTTTTTTTGCCCCTTTTTGAGATTAAACTAATAAGGACTAATCTCTATAATATATAAAATACAACCATCAACAACATGACCAATATGCTATTAACTAATTTAGAAATATTGATATGAGGTTAATGTCAATAGTTCAAATCTCTCAATATCAAATATTTAACGCTCTAATGTACTAAAAAACTATAATAATAATAATAATAATAATTTAAAATGTTGTAATAAATACAAAGGGTATTTAAAAATTAACATGAAAAATATACACAATCCAATTAAAACTACCCAACAATGATGTTAAGAGTAAAATAATAACAACACTTGATGATTGATTCAAGTCATTCTATATAACCATCTTGTAAAAGTTGATACACTAATATATTATAAAAGGCAAAAAATATTAAAACATCAAGAATCATGCTCAACTACATGTACATATATGCCCGTACCTATATAATACAAGAGTTCTAAACTATTAAGTTATGAAACGAGTGTATCAAACAAAGAATAAATTTGATAATTATCTTTTTACAATTAAGATAATACTATAATTTCTAACTAGATAATACCTATGCTTATGGGAACGTTACAATGAAGAAGAAGTTGGAGAAGAATGAAGAACAAAAAAATATAATACATAGCATGCAAACACTTAATGTTAATTTAATTATATATATATATATATATAAAATTAGAAAACTTGCTGTTAGTTTGTTGTGTTGGCTAAGAGAAAAGTAGCGAAAATAAAAATTTTAAATTTTCACTTCGACTTATCTTTGATTATTATATGCCCATAAGCAGTTAAGGGAAGTTTACATGACCAACCTCAATAAAGTTGGCTCATTAATGTGTAACTCTAAATCTACTATACTTTGACAAAGCCTAAGAGCCTAAGAGCCGAAAAGTAAAACTCTTTTATTGGTGATTCATATATATGTATGCTTTCAAGATTAAACAAAAATCAAAATCCCTTAAGTGCTAGCTAGAGGGAATTTCAATTCCTTTTTCTCTTCTTGGCAAGAAGATTTAATCATTAATTCTCCTTACTTTGCTTATCCACAGTAAGGAAGATCTCCGTTGAAATAATATTTTCTTTCCTCGCCCTTTTAGGTGTCCTAGGTTTATTGGTTTATAATGAAATAATTAAGTTGTAAATCTGTTTCTACTTCTATATATATGGGGGACAACCCCTGATATCAGGAATCCACCTCTGTCTAATTGTTAAGTTTAATTGCGGTGCAGTGGAAGCAAAAGTAAAAAATTTCCTCTTCCAAATTAACTTAGGATACTTATGAATCTATTGACAAATAAGAAAGACTCATGATTAATACCTCAATGACACGTACCCTGTTGATGTGTAGTTATGATCCTTGACTTTTGAATGAAGCCTTAGAGTTATGCTTGGGAATTTGAAGAAGACTAGTTGTGTAAGGTGCTAGTAATAGAAAACCTAGTTGTTTCTTCTTCTTCTTTTTAGTAGAAAATATTTTGTAGCTTAAAATTCTACAATGCAAAATAAAAAAAAAATAGAGTTATTAGTTTTTTATATCTATTTATATTAATAGACAATGAAAAGACTTACAATTTTAATTTAATTAGATTTGCCTAAATTTATTAGACGTTTAGTCAAAGTAAAGAGAAAACATACCAATAAGCATACAAATTTTATTATTATTTTTTATTTAAGGATACAAAATTTTAAATTTTGTAAATTTGATGATAAATTTTTACTTTTTTCTATTTAATTATATAAATTTTGTCATTTTTTTATTTAAGGTGCAAAATGTGCTAATGTGAGGCTCACATCATGTACACGTCATTAAAAAACCTTTTACATGTAATATTTTGGAATAAAACGAAGGGATTTGTTGAGACTTAAAGTGACTCATACTCTCATAGGCACATAACTCACTCAAGGACGAAATTGTCAAATTGGTACCAAAAAATCAAGTTCGAGGTCAAGGACTATTTCAGTACTTTTAAAAGTTTAAGGACCATTTTGATATTTTGACCTTTAGATTTTATCAATCAAATGGACAAGTAAGTAATTACGTGTCACCATGTATTATAAATTTATAATGATGCGGCATCCTGTTCAATGCCTGGAGCCCTCAACATTCGCCGCCTACTTCAAGGAGCGACGTTGCCCTAAAGGATCCAAACACCCATAACCCATTGCTGCTGTTCCACTGTGGAGTCAAGGTCCGCAGAGAGAGACAGAGAGAGGGGAATGGGGAGCTCTGGGAACGGCGTTGTAGGCGGCGGCGGAGGCAATGGAGTGGTCGACAAGGGAGTAGATTTCGCCCAGTATTTCTGCACCTACGCGTTTCTCTATCACCAGAAAGAGATGCTCTGCGATCGAGTCCGCATGGACGCCTACTACAATGCCATTTTTAAGAACAAGCATCATTTTCAAGGAAAGGTAAGCTCTTTCTCACATACTGAAATCGAAAATCAGAAAGGAGAATGGGAAGGAATTCATTTACCTTGTCTTAGTCTAGGTGGCTGTTTGCTTGGTTGGGATTGCTCAATTTTTATTTGAAGGGTACATTCATTAGGGATTTTCATTGTTTTTCTTTTTTTGCTCCCATGCAATCAGAAAGAGAGCTAGAATCTGGTATTTTCCCTCTTGAACGTTTGATGAAATTGATGTTTTAGCTAACTTTTTGTTGTTTCTTGTGTTTTGAGGATTTAAATCATTATTTAATGGTGTCATTTGAATGCATTGTTTTTAATGCTGTTAATGATAATTACTAATTTCAAGCAATCATACTTTTTGCCCTCATCTTTGTTTTCTTTCCCTGATTAGGTTTTCATATATAGCTATTTTTTTGGAAAGATTTGAGACTGATTTGGACAATTCGTGAAGACTGTGTTGGATGTAGGTACGGGAAGTGGCATTCTTGCAATCTGGTCAGCCCAAGCAGGGGCAAGAAAGGTATATGCAGTTGAAGCAACTAAGATGTCTGAGCATGCCCGCACTCTTGTTAAAGCAAATAATCTCCAAAATGTTGTTGAAGTGATTGAAGGCTCTATGGAGGAGGTTGTGTTGCCAGAAAAAGGTTGCTGTATTTTATTTCTTTTTCATGTGTTACACATTAGGATTTAGTTTATCGAGTATTTTTTATTTGACTCTAATTGTAGAGTTTGGTTGTTTGGTTGGGTGCAGTTGATGTTATTATATCAGAGTGGATGGGGTACTTTCTCTTGCGCGAGTCCATGTTTGACTCTGTGATTTGTGCTCGTGACCGGTGGCTAAAGCCAACTGGCATCATGTAAGTAGGAGATTTTCGATATCTGCTTTATCTGCTTTATTGTAGCATTTTTTGTATACCTTTTATTTTATGTTATTAAGTAGGTATTATTTTTTGTTGTTTGAGTTTTTTACTTTATTTTTTTGTTTTTTGTTTCCTCTGGCCAACCAAAAAGTTTCAGTTGAATAAGGCCTTCCAGTAAGGTTTGATTGACTGTGGGATTCATACTGCATATGCATAATGTTTCCTAAAAGCTTCAGTCACTGAATTTTTGTATCAGATGTTTGCCATGTGCATTCGCATGCATATTGAGGTTTCCTTCTTGTTGTTGTAGGAGCTATTAGAATTATTGTACTCATTTTTGAAACTTTTAGTTGGTATCCTTACACATCATAACGATAGAGTATCTTCTGAGATTGTTGAGATGAAGCCTTGAATGACAGTAAAGAGAGAGTGATGTGATCTTAGATGAACAAGGTGATGGCCAAAAAAGGTACTTTTGAATGGATGAGAGAAATGTTGTGTCTTCTTAGTTATGACATATTGAAGTTTGGATTATTGCAACCTAAAACCTAGGGACATCAGCTTGTAACTTACTACAAAGTACTAGCCAGGGTTTAAACTATGGCTAAAATTGTTCTGGCTATGTTGAGGGAAAGGTTCAAACCTTGCATTTCCTATAACAAACAGAAAAAGGTGAATGATATCTACCTGATGCAAATGAGTGTGTCTATGATATAAAAATAGGTGAATGATACCTGTGTTGTGCCAACGAGTGTATGCCTATGATATGGTCGCTCTACATAGGTGGTTTAATTCACAAATTTTCTCCATCATGTTCATATCTCTTCATCTATTTTTTTTCTTGTGTTTGTAATTTTTGTCAATTCTTTAAAAAATTTCTGGATCCTTTTAAAATTTTTATTTGGCCAACTTCAGAGCTGATAAATCGGGCTTTGATTTGATAGGTATCCCAGCCATGCACGCATTTGGGTGGCACCTATCAGGTCTGGGCTGGTGGACAAAAAAGAGAACGACTATGAAGAAGCTATGGATGATTGGCGTAGTTTTGTTAATGAAACCAAGAATTATTATGGTGTGGATATGAGTGTTTTAACTAAGCCTTTTGAAGAGGAGCAGAACAAATATTATCTACAGGTAAATTCTAGATTATATTGGTGCCTTGAGAAACAATATTTGTTAGAATATTATTGGAAATTGAGTCTTTGGCATTGCTTGAAAGTTTGGTTGTTATTGTTGTTAAACTCATGCTAGATATATGTTTGCATCCCATTTCTGCTTCACATAGTGTAATTTATGGTTTAAAGCAAGCTTTCCAAGCACAAGTTTTCTGTTACTATTCCAGTCACCTGCCTTTCCTCTCATCCCTGAAACAAATTAATAAATTAAAAAAAGAAAGACCTTTTGAACCTAAAGCATTGAAGTGCCAGTTTAACATGTAAGGCTTGTTCAGAGAAATCTGATTTTTATGTTACTGTAGTTATTAATTTTTTTTCCTAATCCAGTTAATGATTAATCAATGCTATTATTGGTCTTTTGTATATGACACAACTGTGCTTTTTTTCAAGTAGCTTTTAAGCTAAAAATTCAAAATCTTTGTCTCTTGGAATTTGAAATCTGTTGGAGGGAGACTTGGTTTTTAGCAAAAGAATAGCTCTTAAGCAAGTTTTGGACCTTTTGGTGAATTCTTAGCTTAAAAGCTACTTGGAAAAAGGCTATGTCAAACCACCCCAATATTATGAACAAAGAAGGCTGTCAGTCAATTTGGCTTCTAAATGTTCTTTGAAGATATTTATTATTTTTTTCACTCGCATCCTCTTTTTAAGACTAAATTTTGTACAGACTTCAATTTGGAACAACCTTCATCCGCACCAAGTTATTGGGACTGCAGCTGTTGTTAAGGAAATTGATTGTTTAACAGCTTCTGTGGATGACATCCGTCAATTCACATCAACGTTTTTCTCATCAGTCACTTTCGAGTCCAGACTTTGTGGGTTTGGTGGATGGTTTGATGTCCATTTCCGAGTAAGTTGATCTTCAGCATTTCTTGTTATGGCATGCTGGCTTACAGGGGCATTTGTAAGCAAGCGGATATAACTCTCATTGTTGTGTTTGTGCATCAGGGTAGGGTGGAGAATCCAGCTCAGCAAGAGATTGAGCTGACAACTGCCCCTAGCATAGATAATGGCACACATTGGGGCCAGCAGGTATCACTAGAATTATTTTTTCTTTATCTTTCATGCATAAATCATGCCACCTATGGCTGTAAATGAGTTGAGTCAAGTCAAGTTCTTTAGAAGTCGAACTCGAGGTTGATGCTATAGTAACGAGTCAGGTCAACTTTTGAGTTTATATTGAGTTCAAATATATTGAGTTTGAGCTTGATCTCGACTTGTGAGCTAGAGCTCAACTCTCGAACTTGAACTCGACTTATGAGCTCAACTCATGAACTCAAACTTCACTTATATGCTCGATTGGTTACTCAAATTTTATTTTCAATTTAAATTTTAAATATTTAATATATTTAATTATTTTATAATACAGTTTATTTAAGCCAAATTGAGCCTAAGTGGAATCAAATTGAGTCTAAGTGGAATCAAGTTGAGCCAAGTTTTGGGTTCGACTCAACCTTATTTTTCGAGCTCAGTTCTGAGCTTAAACTCAAGCATGAGTTGAGTTGAGCCTAACTTGAGTTCAAGTCAAGTAACTCACAAGTAGCTCAACTAGCCACCACCCAGGTGGGCCTGTGTGTTTTCCAATTTATTTTTTATTTTTTATTTAAATAAACAGAAAAAAAATCTGAAAAATTGGAAAAAATATGAAGAAACTGGAAAAAAAAATCAGAATTATATTGGCGCCACTAAAAGTGCTTTCTTTTTTATTTTTATTTTTATTTTTATTTTCTGATTTATTTTCTATCTTCTTTTAATTATTATACATTTCCCCCTATATTTTTAAAAGAAAACATGCCTCTTTTTTGTATTTTTTCAAAAAAAGAAAAAAAAAAGGTTTTTTTTTTTTTTGATAAAGAAATGGTCTTTTGTTTTGATTTGTTGGTTTTGAAATTTAAATTTAACTGGGTCCCATTAAAAAGATAATATAAGTAATTTTTTATTTTTTTTTTAAAATATGCAAAAGAATCCGAAAAAGGAGAAAGAATAAAAAAATTGCAAAAGTGGTAATACCTTGCAAATTTTACAGAATTTTAAGGACTAAACTGAATTTAAACAAACAAATAAATAAAACACATTGTTTGCTATTACTGTTCATTGTTTTCTTCTGGGTAAGGTTTTTATAACCTGGCCCCTACCTATGTGGTGTTCCAACTCTTTCCAGTGGTGAATTAAAAAGAGTTGTTCACTGGTGCTGTCTGAGGAGCTTTTTGGCATCAGTTGTTGGATTGCACCCTGTTTTGCTTGCAGATCTAACCGAGAAAGTTTGGTTTTGCACAGCCACCACCCAACCTCACAGCCCAAAGGGCTAGGTGAGGGGTTGCTGGGCTTTGCCTAGCGGCCATGCAGGACCAGGCAACCACCCAATCGTGCATTTTGCAACACTACCTGAAAGTTTTAGGCCATTTATGATAAGCTCCTCAATCTTAAATTTGTGCTAATCACTCTCTATGGCTGATCTAAACTATGCGTTTGTAGTCAATGTCATGTTCAACTAGGGTTTGCATTCCCACTATCATAGCAAATTTTCTATTCTCAAGCATAAGATTTCCAAGGATTGGTTTTGTTTGGGCAATGATATTGTTTTTCTCTTTTTTTTGCTGATTAAATGTTAGCTTTTGTGGGATAGGTTTTTCTCTTGCAACCTTCTGTTCAAGTTAGTGAAGGGACTGATCTCAATATTTCCTTCTCAATGAGCCGTTCAAAGGATTATCATCGTTTAATGGTGGTTGAGTTTGGTTGCGACATCAGGCATTCTTCTGGCACGATGCTTCCACCAATCAAGAAGAGCTTCTACATAGAGTGAGCAAGGAAATGGCTACCCTTTTTGGATGTTAATGTCAACAAGGTACATATTGCACCTTCATGATGATGTATTTATTACAGAGTGTGGATTTAGCCCTAAAAGAAAAACACAAAACAAAACAGGTCTCTTGTTACACTAGTGGTACTGTTTGTGTGATAGAAACAAGTTCTCTGGGCTTTCCTCTTCTGAGCTGATCATGTTTTGCATATTATGGTCTTATGGTTTAAAGTTTAAACCCTTACATGCATTTACATGCATACTATGCCAAACTTATTAGTAAAAATATCCTGAGCTGGAGTGCTGGACTATTAGTTAGCAATTAGATCTTATGGATGATTTGGTGTACAACAACAATTTTTCCCATATTATATTCTACATTAGGAAGCCACATCCTATGGCAAACTTTTTACATATGATGTTTTGGGACGAACTAGTAGTTAGGACTTCAGATATAATGGATGATTGGGCATCTAACTACAATTTCTATCTCATTGTCTGGATGCAAGACCATGAAGCTTGTATGTTTGGCCTTACATTCTTCCAAGAGTCACCAACTGCTCAGCATTTTGATAATTTTTTGGATGCTAAACACAAATTTTGCTGTGTTTGAAATGATAACATTTTTGTATAACTGTGTTTTATCTCCACAAATTGAAATGTTTTCTCCAGATGCATGTACAATTAGCCCACAAAACAAGGATATGTTTAATGTACTGAAAAAGAGATATTTTTGCTATTGACTGCTAAATTGTTTCAACCTTCAACTGTTTATCTTAGAGGAACCCATGATTTAAAAGGGATGCATGCTTGCCTTGTGCTCTTTTCTTTAATCCAATAGTTTTTCCACAAAAAGTAGTCATTTTTCTTCCTTTTTATGCTTCAATAGTTATTGGAGGTGGGATGGGATCCTTACCACTTGAAGGAAAAGGAATTATTTTTAGATTCCAATTGTTTACTCTTTTTTTCCCCTTCAAGGCCGCAAATGTATGCCTTAACTACATTCCAAGCTGTGTAAGCAGCACAATATTGTCAATTGTCAACTCAAGATGATCAAGATTCAATTGCACTGTCAACCATTTCCCTCTTTGAAACAATGTTGCTTCTCTTCTGGCATAATCTGCACGTATATAAGATCTTGTGTAATATCCTAGTTTCTTCAGCTTTATTATCCTCATAACTTGCTCTTGTTCCTGATTTCTCTAGTGAAGAAAATGCCAAGGTCGTGGAGCATTTCTCATGTCTTCAATGAGTTCAATGTCAACCTATCTGAGACTAGTATAGGCTTTCAACTTGCAGCTTCCGGTTAATTGCTGGTGTATAATTCCAGGTCCAATGGGGATAAATTGCTGCATGATAAGTCAAAGGCAGAGAAAGCCATTCACCTTATCCCATTTGTGTTAGTTCTATGTGCTTTGATTCTGTGGTTTTCTTTTCATCCAGGTAAAATGTAATCAAAAAAGAAAATAATTGTTCTTTTCCTTTTATTTTACATTGGTAATTTTGCTGATGCAAGTTGTAGCTTGTTCTTTTATCAGAAATTGACATTGATTTGCTGGAGTTGAAAGAAAATGGTAGTTATTTTGAATTTTTTTTTCCTAAATATGTTATGTTGGTCATAAAATAATTCTTGGGAAATGGTACGGTTCCAATTAGAAGGCACAGGACATAAATCTTATATTGGAAATATGAAATTTGATGTGAGGTTGATATGACCTCGGGTTTCACCAATCACCACCTCGACAACTTGTCATTGCTGGACGGGTGGAATCAAACCTTTAATCATACAGCCTTATTTCTGGATCCAATGTAACTTCATGAAGTTATTGAGGTGGCAGAGTCTAGTTAGTGGGTTTCAATGTATACTTGTCTTGGGCCATGCTTCTTTTGTGTGTTGAAATGAAAGACTAGGGAATCAATTGTTCTATATTTAATGTACTTTGTGCATCTGCATTCAAAGGCTAGCTGAAAGCAATCATACTAGTGTTGAGCTTGCAGGTTTTGTTGTGTGCCCAGTTTCTCTGTGTGTTTAATTTTTGTTGAAGTTTCTATCATTCGCATTAATGAATATTTAAGAGAGTTTGACCACATGCTGCCCTGTTTTCAAAGAAGTTGAATG